TGATGTCGGTGGGCCCCACGGGTGACTTATGTGAAGCGGGGAGGAGAAAGACAGTCACTTTCTCCCCACCCGCCTCTGCCACTTGGGACCCAGGGTTGCTGGGGTCTTGTCTTGCCTCGCAGAAAGGAATTTCAGAGACAAGCAGTGAAGTAAATAGATTTTATTTGGAGGATTTTTAGGTGTGGAGGGGGAGAGAGAGAGAGTAAAGTTAGACACGAAAGCATGAAAGTACACATCTCAAGAGGGGAGATGTGGGCAACACATGTGCTCAGGCACCACATGTGCTCAGCCACGTGGGCGCAAGCAGCACATGGGCTCAGGCAGCATATGCGAGCCCTTCCTTTGTTCAAGGTGGCCTTTATAGGGTTTCTCCAGCCTGCCCCCACGTGGGGCTTCTTTCCAGGTAAAAGTTCGTTGCTAAGGAAGTTACCAGGGAGGTCCAAAAAGAGGAATTTCATGGGGAGGCCTATATCCTGAGGGTCTGCAGATGGTCTTATCAGGCCTTTGTTTTCTGTATCCACAAGTTGGGTCATTCCTAGAATTCTTCTTCCATTGCAAAGGGCCTTTCCCTATCTACCTGCCTACATCATCATGATGATTAATTTAAAAGAAAAAAAGATTTCCTGGCCCAAATCTGGTGCTGACATCTCTAGTGTCATTTTTTTATCTTTTCTTAAGCAACCTGGGTAAAGATCTTGTGCTTGAGGGCCCAATTATGAAAATATAGACCATCATTGAAGTCACCCTCCAATTCTGGATCCTTGGCCAAGGACTCAGTTTCAGGCTGAGATAGAGTAGGATTGTATTTAGTTTGAAGTTTTGTCCCTTGGGAGAAAGTACCAGACGTAACATTTCACTTAACTCAGTATGTGTTTGTGCAGGGTCTACTGATTTCCAACTGAATTTGTTAATCCCCTAATCAACTCTGAGAAGAGGAACATCGTCACCTAATGATGTTCTCAATCTAAGGCTGATGATAGGAATTCTGTAGAGCAAATAGTCTTCTTTCAGACAATATTGTCATATCTTTGTTCTACATTTTTGTCTTATTTCCCCCAATTCAAATACAACCCAATTTTTTTTTGGTAACTTGTTAACAATTTTCTGTAATGTTTTTGTTTGTGCTAAAAATCTTTATGCCTTCTTTTCAATATTGGTGTTACCCTTTGTTGAGTTGTTTCAAAAGAGGTTTTTTGTATATTTGTTTGAATATTACTTTATAAAATATGTACTTTTCCATATACAAATTGCTTCTTTTTGTTTGTATGCAAGAAATGCATCATGACAAAATAGGTTATTTTCTTTATTTTTTATTTAACACAAAATACAAATTAGATACAAATTTCCAACATTAAATACAGAACTTCAAGAAATCTCTTGAATCTTGACTAACTCAGTTCTATGCAGTACACAGTTGCAGGCTTACAATTTCAGTTCACCATCTGCACAAAGGAAAAACACCCATTCTGTTAGACACTGCAAGAACGCACAGAGTTGGGTCAGTTATCAGGGAGATAGAAGGGGAGAGCCACTCTGTATTGGCCAGAACTCTCAAGTGGAATCTAAAACTGTGAGTGTGGTTCCAATGTTGCTTTCTAGTTAATCTTGAACACTTAAGGTTGTGTCAGGCTATAAAGAGATTTTGTTTTCCTTCCTCAGCTCTTACTCAATGAATCTACATTGTAGGATTTTTTTTCTTAATTCAACTTTTCAATCCCAGAAATAGTTCTAGTTTTCTGTGTAATTACTGTAGGAAATGTCTACCAAAGTCCTGGTCAGTTGGTGGTTGGAGAAGGAGTTTGTCACTAGTTGCTTGATCACAAAAACAGTATTTATTTTGGAGGGTCACTCACCTTACTCCAAATCATTAAAAAAATAACAAACTTACCTAAACTAACATTCTGCAAGAAGGGCTACTTTTCAGTTATTTTTATTTAAGGCATCAATTGCATGTTAACTCCATTGGCATTGGCAATATCTAGAAGAAAGACTGGTTAGTCAACTTCTGTGTAAACATATTAGGTTTTTGTTTGAAAGGTATTCTACGCATATTCATGGCATATAGGAGAGGTATTTATTCAATATGTGACAAAATTGGTTCAATTCTTCTTGGGAAATGATTTGTAACTTGTTTGAAAAGATTAATCTTTTTTACCGGATCCAAAGTTTTTGGATAGTCACTTGATTTTGGAAAGGGTGTTTCAATTTCAATGTTTCTGAAGTGGCTGCATCTGCTTTTACTACTTAGAGGGTGCAAGGGGATAATCAATACTATGTATGCAAGGTGATCTTGGTCAGTTACAGAGGGTTGTTACCACAAATAAAAAGATGAAAAATAAACCTCAGCAATTATAAAGATGAGATGTCTGTGATATTAGCTGGAATAACAGATTCATACTATGTCTGATCAGTGTAACATCCTCAATTACACATATTGCTAAGGATATTTGCTGGTCTAATATTACTGAGAAGTACTTTACATAGCTCTTCACTGATCTCTATTTAAGAGTGAACTTTGCCATTTGCCTGCATCCATAGCTACGGAATAGACAGATATTCAAAGTAACACATTCTCTGCTATTTAGGAGAATTTGCAAAGAGAAAAGGTGGGAATGAAGCTGAGAGATTAACCTCTCACAAGAAGTACTACACATCTCATACAGATATGATTTGGGCAGTGATTCCCAGTCATAAAATGGCATGGAAAATCAATAAAAGGGAAGTCATAATGTTAAAAGTAGGATTCAAAGTCTTAAGCAAAGAATGAGTGCTGCTTTATTTATAGAACCCATTATTCTTGAGAATTCATGAAACCCTGGTGAATCAATGGGAATATGATGAGGAAACTGAAGGCTGTACACTGATGTCAAGTTTGCCTCTAGTTTTCTGAGCCTACATCCTATCAATCTAGTGCCAGAATGAGAAGAGAAAAATTACTGGAGGTGCTTTGTTTTAATTTATGCAATCACAATCACAAATCACAAATCATCCTGTTATTCGTCAATTGCCTCGAGCAGGCCCCAGTAACGTCTCTTTCATCCTAGCCCTGAGATTATATTCAAGGCTCTTTAGGAGAATGAGACCCATCATTCTTACTGCTATTTGGCACATTGGGTACGCCACGGGGAGTTTGCCAGACTCTGCCGTGTGGGGAGGCTACATTCGGTAGCCTGCTAGTTTGTCCAAAGTAGGAGTGAGATAATAAGATGCCATAATAAGATGTCGTGAGACCGCGAATGTGAATGCGGCCGCATGGTTCCGGGAGCTGGTTTTTATAGTCTCTGAGTCTTGGCCGTTGATGGCATTACAGGGTGACAGGAGGCCAGTTGGTGGGTGTAACACCCGCCTACTGGAATTTGGAGGATCTGGGTGGAGGATGCTCAACCCCAATCCAAGTAGGCTTGGAGATCTCGGCCCCAGAACCCATGTGGCTTTGTCCCTCTGCCAGTACCTTCATATGTGCGGAGAGTGGTCTCAGCATGGTGGTGGCTGGTCCTGGAGGTCTTCGGCTGCTGGAGCCATGGTCGGGGCGGGGAGGAAAGCTCAACCCGCTCCCCTCCAAGGGGCCCTGGCGAGGACAGCCAGGCGCGGGGGCAGGAGACTGCCTAATTTATGCAAAGCACAATTATATGGAGCGATAGCACAGCGGTAGGGCATTTGCCTTGCACGCAGCCAACATGGCCGACCCAAGTTTGATTCCTCCGCCCCTCTCGGAGAGCCCTGCAAGCTACCGAGAGTATCTCGCCCGCAAGGCAGAGCCTGGAAACCTCCCGTGACATATTCGATATGCCAAACACAGTAACAACAAAGTCTCCAATGGAGATGTTACTGGGCCCGCTCGAGCAAATCGATGAACAACGGGCCTTAAAATCCTTCTCAAAACAGTATTACAATAATTTTTTATTCTTTGCCTCTTATCCATGTTGGAATTAAAATTCTCTCTCCAAACACGGTGGAAAGTTTGAGACTCTCAATTTATATCTTTTCTTTTTTATTTTGTTTTTTGGTAAATAAACACATATTTGAATTATTGAGGCACTGTGACTTACACAGTTATTCATAGTTCAGTTCAAGTGTGTAATGTTCCAAAATCAATCATACCACCAGTGTCAGCTTGCCTTCAACTACGAACGCAATGACAGCTCCTAGATCAGATGCATATCTGATTTGCATATTCTAACAATATTCCTCTTTCCAGTTGCTTTTTTCTTTTCTTTCTTTTTTTTTTTTTGACTTTATGCATCACACTCAGCAATACTCAGGGGTTACACCTGTATCTGCACTCAGGAATTACTCTTGGCAGTGCTCAGTGAACCATATGGGAATTCAGGGATCAAACCTGGGATGGCTGCATGGAAGGCAAACACCCTACACAGTGTACTATTGCTCCAGCCACTTCAATTGGCTTGATTCAAACTTTACCCAATGAAGAAGTATGTCAGTATCAGAGCTTAACTGATAGCTTAGATTCTGAAGTTGAAGCAGGTAAAGGTCCTTGTCTGGCTTGTCACTTTTGGTAATTTATGGTATCTGTGCTAGCCATCCCAGTTTCTCTATTCAAACATTTATCTCCCCTGCCTTTGAGTTTGAAATGCAGCCTCATGAATCCCAGTATACTCTTGGTTCTTGTTACATAAATGATCATGTATCTACCAATTAGAAAATTATCTCATGAACAGAAGGATAAACACATTACTCTCTGGTGACCATCGGCACACATTGTCAAGACACTGTGTGCCTAGATGGTAGTCCTCTTAGCATAGTCAACGAGATGTCTGTGAGATCAGCTAAAACAACACTCATAGAATCGCTGATCAGTGTAATATTTTCAAATTCTTCTTAGGATGATACTATATTCTATACCATACACACACACACACGTACACACACCCCTTTTCACTCCAAAGAAATGGTATTTGACATTAAAATTGTACACCAACTCATTTCTAAAACACAAAGAGCAGAAAATATTTCTGCTTGGGGCATACAGGGTAACTTACTAAAGTATCGTAGTCCACCTGTGACTTCTCTCTGTTGTTGACACATTCCTGAAGCACATCATTATAAGAATCTAAAAGATAAGACACAGAAAAGATTGGTTAAAAGTATGTAATTGGTATTGAGAAATTAAACTAAGTAATTTCTCTTCGTAATGACTTTAATATTAATCATAGGTAAAGTCTGAATAAGATGTGTGTGCTACATGGGACCTCCATATTTTAGGTTTGAAGGTTAAAGAAAATGCTAGATGATTTTAACTGTGGAGTTAATATTGATTATTTCTCTCATAAGACAGAAATATTATCCTCATTCTATCACCACTGATACTGCTCCTAAATGTAGAACTCTTATTTTCCATCTGTACATACATAAACTTCAAAGGTGAACATGAAAGAAGGAAATAGTCCCCCATCCCCCCAAACACAGACCATAACAACCCTATGAGAAAAACAGCTGGGTACATAACTTTATTTTATATGAAAGAGGAACCTGGACCATTCATACTGGTACCACAATCCCTGAGAAGCAGTGTAATGAGCATAGTTCCAGGTAGGAGGGTGGTGAAGGTAGACTCATGTGTGCAGGTAAAGGCTGATGTATGATACTGGGAACTTACAGAGAAAATTGTAACAGTAAGCCTTGTGAGTACACTGAGAAAATATATTCTGAGGAAGCCATCTTTCTTTTCTCCCTCCTACTCTATTTTACTCTCGTTTTCTCATATCATGCTCAACACCAGCACACACACATTTGACAAAAACAATGCAGATTCTGATACAGCATACACAAAGACATTCTTCATGCTCTTCTTGAAAATCTGTTGCTTCCAAGGAATATGACCCATAACTATAGTGCTTCGCCCAGAAATAGCTGTTGTTCACATCTCCAAAATTTATGTGCCCAGAATCTGCTATGTGAAGTCTCTATAGATTGTTTAATAAAAAATGTCCATCCTTTTCATATACAATTTTTATCTACAGTGAGAAAATTTCAAGTACTTACCATATTCTTTATTCACCTGCAATAACAAGAAAAGAGAATAAGAATCAGATGTATAGCGTTCTGTGTATTTATTATTCACTTGGCATCCGGTCAAAAAACAAATAAGTTGAAAAATTCCATCAGCAAGCATGAGAACAACTATGGAAAAAACATGAGCATCTCTGGAGGACTTCCATTCAATCAATGCTCTGCAGTGGTGATGATCAAATTTCTAGATCCAAGAAGTGAAAAGATTTGGGGAGTAAAACCCTAATTCATCCATTTGATGATAATTGTGGATAGTCCCTGTAAAAATAGCATTCAATATCTCCAATGGACACTATAATATTTTCAGATATAGGATATTTATAAAATACACAAACCCAGAAATGGTATTTCTGCATGACAGTCAAACTTACCAGTCAATAGGAAGAACTGCTTTCCTCTCAATCAGTAGAATATTCACTGTCCCACAGTTCTTTCACATATGCTAAAGGGAGGAGAGCAATGATGAATCCAATGGAAAGCTCAACATTTACAAAACATTTTGGATGACTTGGAAAAGGAGCAGAGCATAGATGTGGTTCAATAAAGTAAGCAATTGCTTAATGTGGAAACTTGTACCTCCCAGGACAATAAGTGAAAGCAGAAAAGAAAACCAATGAGAGCACTAGAGAGAGTAATGGTTAGTTCAACTGGGATTGGATCCCTGAACCACATGACTTCCTCAGCATGAGCAGATGTAGCCCTGCAGTTTCCCAGGAGCTTCGAGGTTGGCCCTGGTTGGCCCTTGGGACACAAGGTTTAAGCAGCATCTCCTCTTTGGAATCCGCATATATCTGCTAGCTCAGTTAGTCAAAGATTATTATGAGTGACCTCTCAAAGCCATGCTTAGTAGACTCAATTAAAAAAAAAAGAGTCTAATCTTGGAATCATAGGCTGAATGGAGATAAAATGGATGAATGGAGATAATCCACATGATACTAAGGTACAGGCTATGGTGTAAATTTTAAATAATTGACTGTGTGACTACTTTTGCCAGGAATGAAACCCAGCTCAAGCTACCTTCTTATTAATCTTCTTTTTTTTATTTTTTATTGTTTTGACTTTTTGGGTCACACTAATGATGCTCAGGGGTTAGTCCTGGCTATGCACTCAGTAATCACTCCTGGCAGTGCTCAGGGGACCATATGGAATGCCGGGGAGGGATGAACTTAGGTCAGCTGTGTGCAAGGTAAATGCCCTCCCTACTGTACTATTGCTCCAGCTCCTGCCTACTTTCTTCTTGATGTCTTGATCAAACTTTTACCCTCTTTCAGACAAATAAAGGTTCGCTTTTATTTGACTTTCAATGGCAGGAAAATGCCCTTGAGACAATTATTCTACGATTTTCTCACTTATATAATACTCCATTTCTATACAAGTCATTCATACTGTCCACAATAATATGCTTAAATTCTGAATGTGTCATTAATTCAAATAGCATGGTTTCCCATCCCGTCCTCCTTTTTAATTGGCTTCTCTTTAATCCTGTGATAAATTGCCTACAGAGCCTCAGAAGACATCTAATGAAGGGACATGCATGTCAGTGGAAGACATGGGACGAGCATGTGCATTTGCTCCTCAAAAACAGGGAGAAGAGACACAGTGCCACGGGCACACAGCAAAACTGCTTACAATTCTTCTCTTTCAATGTTTGTAAAGAATAAACTAAAATGACCAAAACAAATACATGAAAGTTACACAGCTTTAGGGACAACATGACTGTTAAGGGAGAACACTAAGGTAATGATCATTTCTAAACCAAGTCTGTAGCACTGTCATAGGAAACCCAGAATCACAACTAGTCTTTAGGCTAAACTATGCAGGAATTTCTAAAAAAAAAGCATGTAAGTATAGAGTAAGTACTATATTCTATCGAGCTTCGAATTTCTTCCTTCTGCAGGAAGGAAAAAGAGTGAGAATCAAACTCTAACGTTAATAGTTGTCTAAGTCACTGGTCTTCACTCCTGAGGTCAAGTTAGAGATTTCAAATGCAAATGGAAAGGAAACTAGTGGATGAGTATTTCCTTGATGTGTTTCTCCTGTGCATTGAAATGCCACTTCCCATGTAAATACAGTGTGAGAGCTAAGGCAATTGCTTTGCATACAATAAATACTGGTTTATTCTTCGGAACCACATAGATCTCCAAGCACCACAAGGGAGAAAGACCACAAATCAGAGCAGCCCCAAAGGCGGAGAACTACTTTTGGTGGCCTCAATAAAAGGTTACTGTGTCTGGCATATCGAATACTCTCGGTAGCTTGCCGGGCTCTCCGAGAGGGGTGGAGGAATCGAACTCAGGTCGGCCATGTTGGCCGCTTGTAAGGCGAACGCCCTACCGCTGAAGGTAAGGCTGAGTAAAGAAAGAAATGGATTTTCTTATTCCAAAAAAGTCAGGGGTTGGAATCTATTGCTAGAGGAGAAGTTCTAGCATAGGGTTTATGGGGAGAAAAGGTGCTTCCAAGAGTAAAGGTCTTCTTGAATCAGTCATCACTTAAGAAGATACTGATTCACTCAATGCATTCAGCATTGATATTATATCTTTCAGCTCCAAGGATCACTGGGAAACATGCCTCTGAATTGAACTAGAAAGGAAATCTCAAGATGCAATGTATGAATGTCAATGGAAAAGACAAACTCATCACTCTGGTGCTTTCACTGTCCTCATCACTTTCCCAGGCAATCATCCTTCGGCGAGTTAACAGTGGAGCTAAGAGGAATCAAGTAAAGGTCAGTTTTTCTGGTCCTGGTAATAAGTGATCTTTTTGCTGCAGATCATTAACGTGGGAGTCAGAGGTGGTGGCAGCTCAAAGGCAACCGCACAGTATCTTTGCAATAAGGATGTGGGCACCAGACTGATATTCCCATGGCACATCGTGTTCCTCTGGATTCTGTTCCTAATGTTTCTGGTTTCCCAAACAAAATTTAATTAATAGTAAGTTATTTTATGTAATATAATGGTGACATATTACATTACATAATCATGTTACTTTGAGTTCTTGTGAATTCTGTTCCTAAAGTTTCTGCTGTTCAATCAAGGAGCATTTCTGTTTTGCAATAAAGGAGCACTTCCATGCTGAAAGTTGATAATGCTAGCAATTATACAAAACTATTTCCATGTTTTCTAACCTCCTTAAACATTGATTGATAAAAGTGGCCACATGTTCATACACTGTTTCCACTTTATAAATCTATGACTGACCACAGTTGTATATCATAATGTGTTGGTTACCCTTAAGAATTTAAATGATTATTGAAAAATATACCTATTACTACTCTGATGTCTGATAGTTAAGATGAAACTCTCTGTCTCTCTGTAGCATAACTATTTTATTTATTTATTTATTTATTTATTTATTTATTTATTTTTCCTTTTTGGGTCACACCCGACAATGCTCAGGGGTTACTCCTGGCTCATGTACTCAGGAATTGCTCCTGGCAGTGCTCAGGGGACCATATGGGGTGCTGGGAATCGAACCTGTGTCAGTCATGTTGGCTGCGTGCAAGGCAAACACCCTACCCGCTGTGCTATCACTCCAGCCCCGTCATAACTATTTTAAAGGTTGAAATTGGATACTTAAAAATACCTTGCACAGAGATTAATAATCCCAGTGAATAATTTTGTGATTATTAATTAATTATTCGTAAATATGTAATTATAATAAATAATTGATAATTCCCAGTGGAAACACATGTCACTACTCCAGTCCATCAAGCCTTCTACATTTTTTTCTTTTGTTTTTGGGATGAACACAGTTATTTTCAGGTGTTACTGTGCTCAGTGAACACACCAGTTAGTGATCACAGGGATCATCTGTCATTCTTGGGAGAAAAACAAGGTCATCTGCATGCAACCAAGTCTCTTATGCCCTGTCCTATCTCTCTGGATTGTACATATTATTTTCTTTTACCTACTACTAAGCACAGCTTGAGCTACTATGTTGGCACCGTGTTCCTCTGAGGAGTGAGAAAAATAGAAAGATCTCCAGGAAGGACTGTGGTGAGGGTGGAGCAGTGAATCGCAAAGGTTTGAAAGTGTGAAAGTGTTTGGGGATGCTGTGTGAGACAATTGTATAGTCGTGATTCTGAGAATTGTGAGTGCAAGCAGGACATATCACCTGAGGAAGCACACAATCAATCTCACTCTCCATTCTGCCTCATTCTCACCCAACACACAAATACAAATTCACACATACCATACACACATACATACACACATATACACACACAACCATATTCAAATTAACAATAGTAATTCTGAAGACCCACCGTCATGCACATCTCTCACACCTGGGATACACTGTATCTCCGGAATATAGACACTGGATAAAATTATTAATCGGAAGAATATAGCTATTCCCCACAAACATGAAATCTTCTACCCATGAGTAATGTCTCTAGACAAAACAAAACCAATTATCAAAACTTATCTGCACAGATACTTTGTACCAGCTGAAACAGTTCAGAATACTTACTGCCTCGTTGTGTTGCTGAAGCCTAAGATTAAAACATAGAAAAAACCATGAGATTCATAGGTATGTGTCCCGTGTATATGTTTCACATGTCAACTATTCAATAAATTAATCAGATAAATTCAAAATCTCTCAGCAAGAGTTCATGTGTGGGAAAGACATATGGTAAGTTATGCTTACCATAAAATCCCTGGACATCTCTGATGTGTCATTGAACTCCTCAAGAAACAATTCTTCTATGCAATCTAAAAGACAAAGAGCAACTGTTAGAGCAGTAGTGCAGCTCAACATTTTATTTAGAATTCAAACAAGAGAAATGGATCAACATATGCTGTGATTTGTTAGAAAGTAAGACTTTGGTTGTTAGTGAGCTGTCAGAATCAGGTCATCAAAATCAGAAAAGAAGGCCGGCCCCTCACATTGTAATTCCAGGAGAGTGAAAATGTGTAAATTAAACCATGTGGTTCTAAACTACTGGCTATGAATGATATTATACATGACAGCAGTATCCCTACTCCAGCTATTGTTAAAGTTTTTTTGTGCCACTAACATCTTGATGTCTTCCTCAAATACCTCTGCCTTTGTCATCCAAAAATACTACACCTCTCTATGATGTTTATCTGTTTCTGGCAATGTACTTCAAATTTAAAGTACAGGAGAAAAATTATTCTATGAGCTGACAGGAGAAAAATTATTCTATAGCTCTATCAGATTATTCTGATACTGAGATGATGCATTGCAGTAGATGTAAAATACTAAAATTATCCACTAAAGCAGTCATGATCAAACATCAGATATTCTTACCCTGTCTTTATCAGTAACTATTTTGATGGGCAGATTTGGAGGACCCTCTGTGCTAGCAGTTGATATCAAGGAAGGATGACAGAGGATCCAATAAAGGAGGGTGGCATGACATGAGCACTTGCACTCTCCTTGCTATACGTGATACATGGAGGTCCATGGACTATCCTACAGCTACCATAGCCACATTGTGAAATGTCTCCATAGGAAGTATTCCAGCACTCACAACACAGTGCAACAATGCAGAAACTATAACCAGTTTTCAAAACTCTTCCACAAGTAGGCAGAAAATAGGAAATGTTCCTTACTTTATGCATAACAGAAAACAGGATTGCAAACATTTTTGTCTAGGCTACAACATTTTCTTCCTTCTCTATCAGGTCCTGCATGACTGGGCAGGAGAGCCACCTGACTCAATTTTCAACTCTCACCAACTCCAGTGATTAAAGGTGCCTTGTAAACACACAGGTACATTGAAAGTTTGTGGAACAGAATGGGATCATTTTCTCTTGACCTTAAGAATGTCATGCCTGCAGTCACATACCAACTACATAACTTATCTCTTGTGCACCCGCTAAAGATGGGAAAGGAGTCGTTCTGAATATTCTTGAGTCAAATAGATTTGGGAATGACGAAAGGCAAGAGTCATCACCAGAAATGCAGAATTCATGTGCTGGAACTAGAACTAGAACTGGAATGAAACAGTCAGCGTTATGGGAGGTCCTCATACTCTGATAATCAAGAGCCCAATTGAGGCCAAATTTCTCTGTGGAGTTTCTGGAGGGTTCTACTATGGGAACAATCTAGGGGAGAGGATCTAGGGTCTGTTCTCAAGGTAAGTTTTCCCTGTCACTAACTCTGCAGTTTCACATAGTTCATCCACCTTCTCCATTCTCTATTTTGGAGATGTCAGTGCCCAATTGCCGTAAGACTTATTTCTTTAATCACCATGGTCTAAGTACTGAGTGTAATGCAATGGGATACTTAGGTATGAGAACTATTATAAGATGGAATTGAGCAAGTAATCAGGATTATAAATGAACAGTTTGGGAATATGGCCATAATTTTTTATTAATTGAAGTATAATTATAATACCTTATATTTCATAATTTAAAGAATACCACTTTTTACTTTCTGTGTCTGGTAGATGTACCTCAGTCATCAGGGAAAAGGTTGGATATGGGTCATGATTGATAAGCTCATGTTTGAGCACATTACATTGCATTACTGAGTGTAATGCAATGGGATACTCAGGTATGAGAACTATTATAAGATGGAATTGAGCAAGTAATCAGGATTATAAATGAACAGTTTGGGAATATGGCCATAATTTTTTATTAATTGAAGTATAATTATAATACCTTATATTTCATAATTTAAAGAATACCACTTAAAACAACTGACATACATAATATAGGTAGACATATAATCAGATATTTTGATTGTGAATATTCTATACTAAACTTTCTTTGCTGGCGGTATAGGCCCATAATATCAAATTATGTAGCAAACAATCATGCATATAGAATCAGACTACATGATTGTATATTGAGAGACACACATGCTAAGTGTTCAAAATTTAAAATATAAAAACTACATAAGTGTTTGCAGAAAAATGATTTGGCTGATATAAAATTAGATTTCTTTTAAAATCAGAGATGTGAAAGTTGTACAGAATCCAAAATCAGCATAACATGCCTGTAAGATAAGATTTGCCTGTAGGAAAACTTCCCAAGTTTTTAAGTTATTGATTCCAGGGTACATACCATCATCCTCTGGGAAGACCAAGTCTTGTTTCTACACAAAAGAAAAGATTAGGAGAATCTGAATGCACACCAAATGTGCACCTTTTTTAATGTAGCATGCTTTCAATGTGACATCACATAACCAGATAAAACTGGGGTGTAGTAAAAGGTCCTACAGAAAGTGGGAAAGACACTAGTAAAAGGATGCTCCTTTCTCTGCACATTTGCCTTGGAAGGGAAATGTTTTAATCCACTCAAGAATATTTTCCATAGACCAGAAAATCCTCTAATTCATCCTTTAGTTTGTCCTTTTTCATCCTTTAATTCATCCTTAAGTTTAGTTGTTGCTCCTGGACAAGTTCTTATGGCAGGCAAGAGTGCAAAACATAACTTTCAATTAGCAAGGTCTTTGAATGTACCATCTACATGAAAAATTTCAAATGGGTATCTGAATTTAACTGGAAACTAGTTAAAAACAGTAAGCATATTTATACCTTACCAGGAAAAAGGAAAACTTTCTGGATTAAAAACATTGCTTTCCTCATCCACATGTCACATGAATCTGGTGGATCCTGGGCATCTAAGCTGTTTATGTGCTCAAAGATGAGCTTATCAATCATGACCCATATTCAACCTTTTCCCTGATGACTGAGGTACATCTAACAGACACAGAAAGAAACTCTCTGTTCTTGTGTTTACCTCCCTTGCTCCTTACTCAACCAGGCCATCTGCAGTAATGTTTTCATATGAATGAATGTGCAAAGGAGAAAAGTTAAGAGAACATTTCACTCCAAGGTACGCGTGCTTACATGTTACTAATCTTCACCTTCTTCATCTACCTTGGCTTCAAATGGATCCACAGGCATTGCTAAAGGAAAGAGAGCACCTGTTATTTCACTCTGATACTCAGCATTTCCTGACAGAGCTCCTCTTTAAGGGAATTGTTAACGAATGTGCTTGGTGGAAATTAAGCAAACACTGCTCATCCATTCTCTTCATGAGTGGAAGACAAACAGGAGCAGAAAAGAAAAGAGAAATAAAGTCCTCTCAGTTCATTAGAGGAACTCGAACAGAATGGATAGGAGAACCTGGAGGATGTCAACCTCATGTGGTGTTGAAATCACACTATTCTTCCTGAACATATTTTTTAAACTTCTCTAACCCTGTTCATTTTCTGAGTGTGCATTCCAATATGCTGTCTCTATGATTATCATCAGTTTGACAGGTTTTTAGCATTATATTTCATCGAATACACAGGATTCAATGAGTAAATTATTCCATTGTTTATTCACTGATCTGTTATTATAAAAAAAATCCTCAGAGTGAGAAATTACTGAGCATATAAAAATAAATCACTATCAAAAATGTGACATTTATCTCATTTGTCCTCTCTAATATGACTCTAGCGTAAATGGAGCTGGATGAACATCTGTGTGAGGAGTAGAAACCCAGTAAATGGACAGTGTATGAAAGAGGAAGAGCTGGGGTGAGCACAAGAACTTTCTGCCATATTAAAAATTTGAAACCCAGATAGAGGCACCAGTTTCAACATGGAGCACCTGTGTTCTCTTTGAACAATACTGACTAGGCGAATCCAGTCACGATAGAACATAACTAGGGCTTAGAATAACCATGTTATCCAACGTCACCTAAGAGTACCAGTACTCACTTTGCAGCTTTCAGTTGTGGGTTTTTTTTTTCCAGTTATCGTTACTGATAGAACCCAGTAAGTTGGATAGAAATATCTACTTCTGGAGGTTGGATAGAAAAACCTATTTCTGGTTCCCAGTTCTAAGAATATTGGAACAGGTAAGAAGTTTACATCTTTTGGGTAAATTTACATAAACTATACAGTGATAGATGCCAAATGTAGACAAGTTCTATGAAGGTCTCTGTATAATGGTGAACAGTTTGGGGATCATGTCCAGATAAGCAATTCTGTCAATACTTTAAAAGATGGGTCCAATTTCCATAGTTTCTATCATGCCTTGGTCAGGTTACTTTGTGAGTGTGCTAAGGTGCTGTTGACTATCTTAGAAGTTAATCATAGATTTCTCATGTGGGTTAACAGTTTTTATTCTCCACCTTAGAGAAGACAAACTCCTAACAAACATTACTTTTACACTTTCTTTGACAGGGATTCTTAGTTGAAGATCCAACACATGTAACTGATTTAACTGCAGTAATGATAAAGCCAGTATCAATTCTTTTATATCAATGCTAATATCAATGCCAATAGTCAACAATGCCAAGTACACAGCATAAATATTCCAAAGCTATAGTCAGTGGTGAAAGGACTTGAGATCAAACAATTTGATTTTGTAGCTGACTGAAAAATTGAACCACTTCTGCAGTGATAAAAGGATTGAGAACCCAAGCCACCAGTTATGGAGAGAAAGAAAGGTGAATTCAGGAAACTTCCTTGAGCAGAGCAGAGACACCTTTTGTCAAAAAGAGCAATCTCTGGCACTCACAAAGAATGACCTACAGTATTGATTTTATTCTTGACGTCAAGCACATGTTTGTTCATTTAAAAGAATTCAAATCATTAAACAGACAATCTTGGACTGCTGTGTGAGATTAAGTAGGCAATAGACAACAGAAAAATGAAAGTACCAACAAAATTACAGATTAAACATTCTGCCTCTGAGTCATGATACACATTCTAAGAATTGAAGTTTATGCTTGTTAGAAACACCGATGTTTATCCCTATCGTTCCCAGCAAATTCAGGATAATCCACAAATAAAGACCAGTTAGAAAAGTCCACATAATTTATCTAGACTCTGTATTTAGAGTGAAAGTCCTTACAGAATACTTACCGGGTTCCTCCTGAGGCATCTGCAATTCCAAAGAAAAAACAACTCTGAGAATCAGACTATATCACATCCTGTTTGCACAGGACTCTTGTTCTTATTTTTATTATTAGCAAAACACCATGCGTTACAGTTGTAGACTTACAAACTTTTGTGCTTGGGTTTCAGTTATACAATGATCAAGTATCCATCTCTCCACCAGTTCCTATTCTCTAGCACTAATGATCCTAGTAGCCCTCCCACCCCATACCCCATCCCCCCACCCCGCCTCACCTCGGTGGAAGGGCATTCCTTTCTGCTCACTCTTTCATTTAGGATGTTGTAGTTTGCAATAGAGGTGTTGAGTGGCTATCATGTTTGGTCTATAGTCTACATTCAGCAAGCATCTCACATCCTGAGCGAGTCCTCCAAACATCCTTTACATGGTGTTCCCTTCTCTATCTGAGCTGCCTTTTCCCCAACAGGACTCTTATTCTTTTAGAGACTTAAGAAAAGTGACCTGTGAAGTCTTGTTAAGTCTAAGCTTCTAAAGAATCAAGAGGAACTATCTAGAGAAGGTACAGGTGTTTTCTGGATAATGGATCTCTCAAATGTATTGTGATTGTGTGATTGGCAAGTTTAAACTTCTCACTGTCACGGTCACGATCCTCTCCTTGTTCATCGATTTTCTGGAGCGGGCCCAGTAACGTCTCCATCATGAGACTTGTTACTGTGTTTGGCATATTGAATACATCACGGGTAGCTTGGCAGGCTTTGCCATGCGGGCGAGATACTCTCCGTAGCTTGCCTGGCTCTCTGAGAGAGGCGGAGGAATCGAACTCGGGTCGGCCATGTTGGCTGCATGCAAGGCAAACGCCCTACCCGCTGTGCTATCACTCCAGCTCTTAAACTTCTCATTTCAATGAAAAGAAGCTTCTCTTATAGAAATACACCTGAAAACAGGATAATGGGATCAGTTGTTCTTACCATCCTGAATCAAGCACTGTCTGCTAAAATTCTTTCTCCACAGTAAATGACATCACAGTTTTTCAAATGCATCTGTCTTTCAAATGTTCACTAAAATAAAGACTGCCTAGAGCTCTTTGTTATATCTGACTGATATAAAAATAATGTAACCATGCCCGAACTTTGATTTGATGACCCTCCTTGATATTTTCTTTGTCAAAATATAAGTAACACATCGTTTTATACCCAGTCACACAAAATTGGTTAAGTTCCCCAGAAAATATCATAACTCCTGTATTCTTAGCCTTTAAAATAAACTCATATGTTGGCAAAGTAATTTTTTAAATATATATCTTAGGTTGGGCATTGAATTTATGAAAATTAAACATTTAGCAAATCTGGTATGAAGGGAACATTTGTTGCTTGCGTTATTTTAGGGGCCCCACCTATTATTCAGGGATAATTCTTGGTAGGACTTCAGACACCATATCCTCTGTCACTGTCACTGTCCTCCCATTGTTCATCGATTTTATCGAGTGGGCCCAGTAACGTCTCCATCGTGAGACTTTGTTGTTACTGTGTTTGGCATATCAAATATGTCACGGGTAGCTTGCCAGGCTCTGCCGTGCAGGCGAGATACTCTCGATAGCTTGCCGGGCTCTCTGAGAGGGGCGGAGGAATTGAACTAGGATCGGCCATGTTGGCTGCTTGCAAGGCAAGTGCCATACCCGCCGTGCTATCACTCCAGCCCATATCCTCAGTCAAATAAAAAAAAATTGAGCTCATTAGGAATGGATTTTAGATGTAGAAGAATTAGTAAAGCTGGAAAGGTGCCTGCCTTGTACACAGTCAACCAGGTTCAAACACCATGTAAATGGTGCTTTGGGTGCTGCCATTAGCAAGGAGTAAGCCAGGTTTGGCCCAATCTAACAACATAAAATGATTATCAGTGATACAAAAAAAAAGCCAATAAAATCAAGTTTCTATTTTATTGAATTCTCACTTACCACAAGGATCCGTGGATACCCAATTTCTCTATATTCTGGAGTCTCTTCAGCTTCCTTCATCACGTTAGTGGTAAAATGGACACACGATAAGGTCAAGTAGTGTGGGGATGCTTCCCAGGAAAGGCAGAGTATTGTCCTGGGATTAAACAAGTATCTAAACTGTGTCAGATTGGTAAACAAGTGTAGATGGAGCTTCTGTTGAAGCAGCATTCAGACTTGCCTGACACTGGAAAGAAGATAGTTTCAGTAACATTGTCACAATCATTTTAACATTTATCACTTTGTAGTTGTTCTTTATTTCATTATTTGTTTTTTGGGTCAACAACTGTCAGCCCTTACTCTGTCCTACCCTTCACCATTCCTGGCTCTGGGGAGCATTTATGGTGGAAGGATGACACACTCAGAAAGATCATTTCTGCCTGATATCAATTTAATGTGGAGTCTAAATTATAACTCTAAGTGGAGTTGATTCATTAAAAAAATGACAGACAAAAAAAAAGCAGTCAAAATAGGTTGCTTTACAGGGTGTGGAAGAGGTAAAGAAAATACCTTGCCATAAGACCACAAGGTGGTAATCCACACAAAATATAAATGTATGAAGTAATATTTCCATAAAATCCTAAAAGTTTACTGCAAAAGCTTATATTATTTATATAAAATACTGTATATAATATATATCATATCTGTATGTATTCATTACGTTTTGACCTCAATCAGGACAGTTTACAAGGAAACCAAAAGTACAAAATTTACCAAAACTGTTGGGCTTGGATTTTAGAAATTGATAGATACGACAATGGAGAAACGTATGGGTAAAGTAAAAGGAGACAGAATAGAGTCAAATGGGCAATGATCAGGGGCCTTGAAAACAGCAATGGAGTAGAGCTGTGGCAGATGTATATATCTAAAGCACAGAGACATCAGGACTGAAGCATGAGACACAAACTATGGTAATGTACCTATAAAATATATCTGCTATGGTGGCATAGTTGAGAGATTAAAGGAAAACGTGGGAATATTGGTGCAGGGCAGTTGACTCTGAATCATGGTTGGTGTTGAAAAAAATTGTCTGAAAATTTAGTATGGATATTTATATTTATACATTATTTATGGTATTAATATTTATATTTTGTATTATATACATTTAATTTATAATCATAAATCACAATACATTAAATTTAAAAAATTAATTTGAGAAAATAAGGAAACAGTGCCCTTTATATTTTAAAAAGTAGAGGTATAGTAAGGGACAGTACCACAGAGGAGGTAAAAGAATATCCTGTGGACAATTACCATTCTTTAGAAAAGACACTATAGAAACAACAAAGACATAGGGTCTGGAGGAAGAATCTGAGCAAAGAGGAATATTCACATTCTCACCCAATTTTTACCTCTGCATTTTAGCACATATTCTAGGCAGTTTATGGTTGTTAGAAACAACCTGTTAATCCCTACTATCCCAGCAGATTCAAGGTGGCCCCCACACTGAGGCCAGCAAGAAATTGCCACATGACTTATCTGGTTCCCAGTTGGTGGTCATTCTGGGAGTTCTCTTTTTGAACTTTGCAGCCCTTTCTCCCCGCTCTGTGAAGTAGAATTTTGCACGAAGGAGACGGTGGTCCGATCCCGTTCGAAATTTTGGGACAACAGCGACATCAGTCAGGCAAAACCGTCGATTGAATATGATGTGGTCTATTTCGTTGTGGAATCGTCCACCGGGAGACTCCCATGTCCATCGTTTAGATTCTGCCTTCTGGAACTGTGAGTTACCATGGATGGTCTTGGTCGACATGATGAACTCTGACAGTCTCTCACCCTGTTCGTTCCATTCTAGGCCATGGGTCCCGATGTGAAGTTCTTCAGCTGATCTTCTCGGTCCTATCTTGGCATTAAAATCACCCACAATGATCTTGTAGAAGGTGTGGTCTTCTTTATAGAACTTCTCTAGCTCCATGTAGAACTTCTCGATTTCTCTTTCATCATAATGAGATGTTGGTGCGTAGACAACGAAGATACTGGGAACTCTTTGGTACTATTGCGGCAACATGGGAAGATGCCAGTGTTGACAACATTGACGAGGAATACGATCGACTGGTTCAGCACCTCCATGAATGTGCGAGGAACCCCAAGAGAGAGATAGCCACAAAAAGTCGCCTATCTTCGAAAACTCTTGAGCTAATTAGCCAGCGTGGTTTGGCGCATGCCTCAGGCAACCGCAAGCTAACATCCGAGCTTGCAAAGCAGTGCAGAGATGCGATCAAGGAAGACCTCAAAGAGAGAAGAGCAGAAGTACTGGTAGATGCGGCAGAAGCCGGGAAAAGTATTCGTAAGGCCCGCCTGTCCTTCGCCAACTATAAGAGCTAGATGACTGCCCTCCGACGTCCTGATGGATCCATCACATCCTCCAGAACGGCAATGGAGTAGATTATCCATGACTTCTACTCAAATCTCTTCGATAGCCATGTCCACTTGCCAACATACCAAATTCCACAGGATGGGTATGTTGTTCCCAACGTTCTCCCCTCCGAAATCCGACACGCCATTTCGTTGGTAAAGAAACAAACAGCACCCGGCCCAGACAAGGTCAGACCTGAACACCAGAAGAACCTGCCGTCAGTACTCATCAATACACTGGCTCGGCTCTTCACTCGCTACCTGTCTGAATGCAAGGTTCCGTCCCAATGGAAAACCAGCAGGACCGTACTACTGTTCAAGAAGAGAGACATCCATGACATTGGCAACTATCGCCCGATCTGCCTATTGTCTGTCATCTACAAGTTGTTCACTCGAGTCATCCTGAATAGGATTGACAGAACATTAGATGAAGGACAACCATGCGAGCAAGCAGGGTTCCGCAAAGGATTCAGCACCATCGACCATATCCACACGATAACCAAGCTCATTGAGGTTTCTCGGGAGTTCAAGATGCCGCTCTGCTTAACATTCATTGATTTAAAGAAGGCCTTTGATTCTGTTGAGACGGAAGCGGTCATTGAAGCCCTAGCCAATCAGGGCATTCAAGCCCAATACATCAGGATCCTCCGTGAGCTGTATTGCAGATTCACTACCAGGATCTCACCATTCTACAAAGAAGTGATTGTTGATGTCAAGAGAGGGGTGCGGCAGGGTGATACCATTTCACCGAAACTCTTCAGTGCCACCCTCGAGAACATCATGCGACGACTGGACTGGGAAGGAATGGGAGTGAAGATAGATGGTCAGCAATTACACCACCTCCGCTTTGCTGATGAGATTGTTTTAATAACACCAAACATCAGCCAAGCGGCACAAATGCTGGCCGACTTTGACCGTGAGTGTGGAAAGGTAGGACTACAGCTGAATCTTACGAAGACAATGTTTATGAGAAACAGCCTTGTTCCTGACGCCCCATTCGCTCTCAATGGAACGACCATCTCCGAATGCAACAGCTATGTCTACCTAGGTCGAGAGGTCAACATGACAAATGACCTGGCACCCGAGCTGCGCAGGAGGAAGAGAGCGGCTTGGAACGCCTTCAAGAACGTCGAAGAAATAGCTAAGAGGACGAAGAACCTCCGGCTCCGGGCACATCTCTTTGATTCCACTGTTCTTCCTGCATTAACATATGCCTCAGAGACCTGGGCCCTACGCAAACAAGATGAGAACGCTATTCAGGTCTCCCAAAGAAGAATAGAAAGAGCTATGCTTGGAATATCACGTTTCACTCAAATGAGAGAACGAATCCGGAGTTCTGACATCCATCGACGATCAAGGATCAGGGACGCTGTCTCATTTTCCAAGGTGTCGAAAATCAGATGGGCTGGTCACGTAATGAGATTTAAAGACGACCGTTGGACTAGAGCTGTTACTGATTGGATTCCACGGGATGTCAAAAGACCGCGTGGCCGCCCACCTACCAGATGGTCAGACTTCTTCGTCAAGATCATGAACGATCGGTTTGAGGCCCTTCATGTTCCCGGAGCGAACAGATGCCATTGGGCTACACTAGCACGTGACAGGGACAAATGGAGACGTTACTGGCGCCCGCTCGAGCAAATCGACGACTAACGGGAAGTTAAGTGATTAAGTGATTAAGTGACTTATCTGGACTGTGTCCACAGTTTTAAAATGGTTGCAGAATACTTACCAGGTTTCTCGGGTTCCTCCTCAGGCACCTGCAATTCCAGATAAGAAGCAACTGTTAGAATTAATTACATTTATCCTGTTTGTCTCCTGGAGCCCCAAGAAAATACGATGAGAAAGCATGTTAAGTTCAAGCTTCTAAGCAGCAAAGGGACCTACCTAGAGAAGGGACAAGCATTTCTTGGGTAATGGATCTTTAAAATGTGTTGAATTTGGCAAGTTTAATATTATCATCTCAATGAAAAGAAATTTCTTTTGGTAAAGAACCCTAAGCACATGAATCAAAGTAATGGGACCAGCTTAGTTTCCATCTTAAATCAACTATCCCCTGCTAAAATTCTACTCTCCATAAGAAAATTATGCCATAGTCTTTCTAATACAGCATCAGTCATTCCTATCTTCACTGAAATAAATATTGCCTAGTGTTTCTGATATACTGAAGATATTCCAAAAATAATGGGTCCAATTTGATGTCTTTACTCAAAATTTCTTTGTAAAGAGTAAGTAACACATCATTTTATATTTAATAACTTAAAGTTCCATAAATTTCAAGAAAATATCTTGTATTTAAATATCTTATGAAATACACCTGTATTCTTAGCAATTATTTATTAAACTCATATATTAATAAAATATTTTATCAAATATATTTTTAGATTGGACATTCAACTATCATGTAAATTAAGCATTTAATAAATTAGTTATAAAGGAAAAGGGTATTTTTTTAAACTTTAGGGGCCCCACCCAGTACTCAGGGATCCTACTTGGCAGGACTTCAGAGACCTTATGCAGTGTCAAAGAAAATATTTTAAAACATTGGAAATGGATCTTAGATGTAGTAGAGCTAGTAGAGCTGGCAAGTGCCTGCCTTGTACATAGCCAACCCACGTTCAAACCTTTGCAATATAAATGCTTTCTTGAGCACTTCATGGAACAAT